TGAGACGACGACGTACGGCCCGCGTGGGACTCCAGTGGCTCCGAACGGCACGGAGGTCATGTCTGGCGACGTCGGCATCCACACGGCTCCTGGCTATGGTGGCTTGCTGGTTCGTACGATTCGCTCCGACCAGGTGCAGCGGTGAATGGTCAACGCTCCCGTCGAGCCTGGCGTGACGTGGCCAGCTCGCTATCCGAGATCGCCTTCCCCGACTGGGCGATAGAGGGCCCCCGCACCACCCTTTGGCGCTGCCGATGGATCGACCGTCGGGGCGGGGGCCCTCTCGACCACCACCGCTTCTTCGTGGTGGTCCACCGCCTCCACAAGGACAGCTGGGGTGTCCCGATGCACGAGTTCGGGATGAAGGCCCTCGAGACCCTCGGCGCCTACGACTCGCTCGACCTGCCGAACGTCGCGGGGATCGAGTCGCTGATGCGCGAAGTGCAGCTGGTCGAGCATGCGCATGCCAAGCGCGACGGGTTTGCTGGGGCCAGCACCGAGGTGGCCGACGGCGACCTGAATGCCAAGAAGAAGGGCCGTGGCCATGGCCGCGGACGAGGAGGCGCCGCGGGCGCCTTCGGCTACCTGGACGAGCACACCGCCTTCCGGGGGCAGCGTGAGACGGGAGACGCCATGGTGTGTCCCGCCCTGGTCGAGTGGGTTGGCAAGCAAGTCGAACGCGATGCCAACATTTTAAGGCAGGTCCGAAAAGCCCGAGAAGAGCGGGCTGATGCGGGCCATGGTCCAAATTAGTTTTGGACGCACGGCGGTCGCTCCCCCTGGCGCCCGCTGTTCACATTCTGCGGGGCTAGGCTCGCCGCGGCAGGCGCGCCTCGATTTTCTGCCAGCAGAGGCGCAGGGCCGCGCCATCATCTTCCCCTTCCTCCTGTCCTCCTCGTGCTCTGGCCATCGCGTGGCGCCTGGTCCCATGTCGAGAGCGTGCCCTCGTGATCTTTTTCCCCTGCCTGTGCCGGCCTCCTCTGACCCCCCTAGGACCTCTGTCTCGCGCAAAGTTCGGAGGAGATTCGAGGTCCACCGTCAGTCAGCATCCTTGGTCTCCGAGGTGGTTTCGGTCTTGAATCAGTTACACGGTCAACACGGCTCGGACAGCGGTCAAACAGTATCGGCGGCCCAGAAGGCGTGTTTGGAGCAAATCCACCGTGCGGTTCTACGATTTGGCAAGCCCTTGGCGGACCTCACCTCTGCAGGGGCCTTACGAGAGCTCCGCGTTAACCCAGGCTACTCCGTGACGAGCAGCCCCGTGGTTCTCATCAGCGAGGCCAGTATAAACAGAGTTGCCCTTCCTCCTGTCGGGCGGTCACCTGCTGGAATTTTGCAGCTGGGCGGCTCCGTCGGCGAAGCCATAGTTGATGAGCTGCATGCGCTACGGCGTCCTGACCCAGCACTTGCAGATACTTCTACACCTCCTCCCAGAATTTACCACGATCCTTATCTCCGTTCTCATCCTCTGCTTTATGCGCGCTTCCTGCTTCGCCTCAGCCAGTCTAACCTTGTGACGTGGAGGCGAGAGTGTACATCCTGCGTGGGAGTCTTCTTTTTGGCTGAAAAGAACGGTGACCTTCGCTCGATCCTCGACGGGCGTCAGGCAGGCGAGCATTTCGATGAGCCCCCTCACGTTGACCTAGCTACTGGGTCGGCGTTCTCGGCCCTGGAGGTTGACGGTGGGGGGCCTATCTATGTTGGGGAGACGGACATTGAGAATGCCTTCTATGGGATTCAGCTACCTCTGGAGTTCTGGCAGTTTTTCGGGCTACCTCGAGTACGAGCTGGGGTCCGAGGTATCACTACCGACAGCGCTGGAGGCCCCTTGAGGGCCAGCGACTGGGTTACCCCGTGCTTTACCGCCGTCCCAATGGGATGGAAGCACAGTCTTTGGATCTGTCAGCGTATCATGGAGTTCCGGGCCCGCACCAACACGTTGGCCTCCCCCAGTCTGGCTTTTGACGATGCGCACCTTCCTGTCCGTCTGGTTCGATCTTCCACGCAGGTATTACATACAGAGTACGTTGACAGCTTCGTTGCCCTTGGCCTCTCGAAGGACCCCACGCATGCCGTGACTGACTCCGTCGATCGCAGTCTCCGAGACGCTGGGTTTCGCACCCGCGGTCCGACGGTGTCGGCTGGAGGGGGTGTTCTCGGTTGGACCTTCGACCAGGACGCCCCGACGATCGGGATCAGTCACCGCATAGGCTGGCGAATACGACTAGGGTGTCTGGCTGTCGCGGACATGAAGTACGCCTCGGGGGATCTTGTCAGGGTCGTCGTGTCACACTTCACGTCTCGGGCTCTGCTGCGCCGTGAATTACTCTCATGTCTGCAGGCTTCGTATTCTTCCATCGAGTCGTCCGGCCACCACACGCGTGTTCTCTGGAGCTCAGTCAAACGGGAGCTTCGTTGGTGTGCCGCGCTGATCGCACTCGCTTTCCGCGACGTCAATGCCGCCTGGCCCCCCATGGTCTACTGCACCGACGCGTCCTGGTGGGGCGCAGGGGTCGTCAGGGGCATCCGCAGCGTCCAGGAGGTCCAGCACGTGGGCCACTATACGGAGCGCTTGCGTTACTCAGCGGCCCACGAGGCCATCCTCAAGCCACGGGACTCGGCTCTGAAGTGTTCGGTCAGCGGCGGGGTCACCGCCTCCCCCCAGGACTCCGAGATCCCGAAGGCCCCCTTCCCCGAGGTCCTAGAGTCGGTCTACGGCGGCGACTGGTCCCTCGTCATGTCCCAGAAGTGGTCCCGCAAGGAGGCCCAGGTTGTCTTGGAGGCTCGGTCGCTCGTGCTCACCGTGAAGAACATAGTTCGGAACACTCAGAATTTCGGTTGCAAGCACCTGGTTTTGAACGATTGCATGGCTCCCATTCTTGCGTTTACCAAGGGACGATCGTCGAGCCCTGGGGTCCTACAGCGCTGCCGTCAGACGGCTGCCATGTTGCTGGCCTCTAACTCGTATATCGCCTGGAGATGGGTCCCATCAGAATCCAACGCAGCCGATGCCGCTTCTCGAGGTCGGGCAGGAGCTTTCCGATTCAATGCTGCGCCGAATCCAGTTGCAGCTCTCGGGCCCGCGGGGCTCGAGGTCCTCCGCGATGGCTTCCTCGGCGACAGCCGCGACGGCGGGCCCGCAGCTGGCGCCGCGCCCCCTGGGCGGCCACGCCGGAGGCCTGCCCCGCGCGGAGGTGGCGCCCAACCTCCCGGCGCCCTCCTCGCGGCGCCCATACCGCGAGCGGGTGCCCCACGGCCCCGGCGCTCAGGAGGCGAGGGCCGCCAAGCGGGCGAGGGCCTTCCCCGCTGCCGCAGAGGCCCCACCGCCGCCAGGCGCCCCGACCTTCCTCGAGCTGCAGAGCGTCTCGCCGAAGGCCGCCCAGGACTACCAGACGTACGTGACGGCGTTCTACCAGTGGGGCCAGGAGCGCCACCTGCTCAGCGACATCGCGACCTCACTGAGGTCGGCGCCGGCGATCGACCTAGCCCTCGTGACGTACATGAACGAGAAGTTCTTCGCAGGCGAGCTCTCCTACGTGCCGACGAAGCTGATCGCGGGTCTCCGCTACTTCTGGACATACCCCAACGGAGCGCCCCTCGAGCTGCCCCGCAGCTTTCGCGCCTTGACGGGCTGGAAGCGCATGGTGCCTGCCCAGAGCCGCCTGCCGTACCCCTGGGTCGCCCTGTGCCTGCGCGTGCAACACATGATTGCCGCGGGCCAGGTGATGGAGGCATTGGCCAGCATCATCACCTTCACGTTATACCTGCGCCCCAGCGAGTGCCTGCGTCTGCAGGGGAAGCTGATCACAGCTCCTGCCCAGGCGCCTCGCCGTGTGCAGGACGGCCAGGGCCAGATGTGGCCCCTCCTCCTGCACCCGCAAGAGGGCGGCGCCACGTCCAAGACGGGCCGCGTGGACGAGAGCCTGCTAGCGGACAACCCCCTGTTCCCGTGGTTGCCGCAGGCGCTGGGCCTCCTGAAGGCCAAGTTCCCCCACTCGCTGGTCTTCAACTTCGGCCAGGCGCAGTGGGGCCGGGCCTTGAAGGGCGCGGCGCCCGCTTGCGGGCTCACTGCCCTGGGCGACCCGTGTCTGCACCGCCTCCGCCACGGAGGGGTGTCGCACGACCTCCTCTTCAAGGCTCGCACTCTCCTGAGCGCCAAGAGCGCGGCCGCTGGGCCAGCGACCGCAGCCTGGCCCGCTACGAGCGGGGCGGGCGCATCAACGAGCAGCTGAGCCTCTTGTCCCAGGACATCCTCATCGCCGCCGACCTGGCGGCCTCGAACATTGGCGTAACCCTCGTGAATGCCTTCCGCTCTTTGTGAAGCAGCGGGGCGTCCCCGCGGCCCTCGAGATCTTCGCTGGCTCCGGGCGCCTGTCTGAGGTTTGGCGCCGATCCATGAGGTCGGCTGGCCACCCTGTTTTCGAGATCGACATGCGGCACGGGGTTGAGCATGACATGTGCAGTAAGGCCCTGGTCAAGCTTATCCGGGGCTGGGTCCGAGGTGGGCTCGTGACGGCCGCGTTCATGGGCACGCCGTGTAATTCCTTCTCTCTTGCACGGAACCGCCCTAACGGTCCCCCGACCCTCAGGACGTCCGAGTACCCCGAGGGCCTCCCCAAGCTCTCAGACAGCTGCCGCAAAGAAGCCGACCTCGGAAACTCCCTGTGTGCCGCGAGTTTCAGTATCTTCCGTGAGTGCCGTTTGCTTGGGTGCCCAGTGATCGTCGAGAACCCTGCGAGCTCTCATCTTTGGAGACAACCCCAGGTCCTCAAGGTCCGGCAGCTTCCTGGTGTTTCAGAGGTGGTTTTCGACATGTGCGCTTTCGGCACCATCTGGAGAAAATCTACCCGACTTCTTGGGTGTCACGTTGATCTTCGACCACTGGATGTTCGATGTAGAGGCAAAGGTGTATGTACGTTCACTGGCTCCCCGCATTTTACCCTGGAGATGAAAGGCTCCAAGATCGTATCAAAGCAGGCGGAGGTTTACCCCTTCTCTGTATGCCGAGCCATTGCGAGAATATTCCGTGCTGCTCTAGTGCAACAACGTGCTAATAAACTTCGGCCTCATGTTTGAGTCCAGAACGGTGTTCGCGGAGGTTTTACTGTTCCTGGGCTTTAGACTGGTTCGGATGTTATACAGTACTGTTTCTGGTCTGTACGTTGTCCCCTTCCCTGCAGTCTCGGGGGCAAGCACATCCCAACACAGATCGTGTCCCTGGCGACGGAGAAAACATCTGGCCATGCATTCGACTACTTCAGTAAGGGCTTGCTTGGAAGAGAGTTGCAGAGTGCGCCGCCCTGCCGCAACCGCGGGGCTCAAGCTTTCACCCAACCCTCCCTCCCTTCTGTAAAGCTGGCCGAGGCATTGGCAGGCGGATTTTATACAGTACTGTTTCCTGGTCTGTACGTTGTCCCCTTCCCTGCAGTCTCGGGGGCAAGCACATCCCAACACCTCCTCCTGCTCCTTATGCTCCTCCTGCTCCTCCTGCTCCTCTCCTGCTCCTCCTCCTCTTCCTCCTTATTTTCCTCCTCCTCCTTCTCCGCCTCCTCCTCGCTTTCCTGTTTCTTCTCCTCCTCCTCCTCCTCCTCCTTTTCCTCCTCCTCTTCCTGTTTCTCCTCCTCCTCCTTCTCCTCCTCCTTCTCCTTCTCCTCCTCCTCTTGCTGCTTCTCGTCGCCGTCGTCAGCCTCCTGCTGCTGATGCTGATCCTCATTCCCCCTATCCATCTCGCTCGGGGTGGGTTGGTCCGTGCGGCTTCCTCGGGCTGGCATTTTCGGGCCACGGAGGGGATACCCGGCTAGCACTTTTACGCCAGGCGATGACGTCATCTGGTTGGCAGTTTCTGGCCAGCGCCGAATCGGCACCAGTTGAGGGCCAAGTATTCGCCACATTGCTGCGCCGGTATATATGCCTGCCCCTTGGCGTGGGGCCCATTGCTGGCCAAGGGCCGAGCTGTCCAGTGATTAGCACGCCTTGTAGCGAGGCCAGATGGCGATGACGATGACGAGCACCATGACGAAGTCCCAGAAAAAGACGCACAGGCTGCCCTACACGGCGCAGCACAGCACATGACATGGGCAGATCTTTACGACCATTCTTCGGGTGAAGAGGAGGTTCGGGGGGATGAACCAACGTCTCGCTCAATCGATCTCACTATCGATCCCACGATCGATATCGCAATCGATGTCACTCGATCGATCTTACCATCGATATCACAATCGATCTCACTATCGATCTCACAATCGATCCCATTATCCCTCCCACTATCAATCTCACTATGGAGCTCACAATCGATTTCATTATCGACCTCTCACTACCGATCTCACTATCAAGCTCACGGGACGCTACGGACACCACAGGACACCGCGCCACGGGACACCACGGGTTACCGCGGGACTCCACGGGACACCGCGGGACATCACGGAACACCATTGGGACACCGCAGCGGGACACCCCCGGCACCCGCCCGCCTAACCGGAGGTGGAGGCGGATTCCTGCCCCAGCGGCGCCCTAGCCAGAAGAGGGTGCATTCCTCTCGCCCGCCCAGGCAGCTCCGCCTCGCCCGCACGCACGGCACGAACTTGAAACCGAAACCGATTTCCCGGTTGGGGGTTCTCCGTGTCATTGCGAGCTCACCCCCCTTTCTCGATAGCAGACGTGTCAGCAGAAAGTCTGAATTCAGCTCTTTATCTGGTTCGTAGGCCCCTCAAGTTGTGTTTAAAGTTGGGCGCTTCTGGGGCCAAACAGGACACACGCTCTACTAGGGCCCAACGAGAACCAGCAAGAGTCTTACAGTGTTTTCGGCAGGGATCGGTCAGCTTCCGAGAAGGCAGCTCAAACAAAACGCAACATGCAAGCCTAGGGCGGGCCTGACAGGAGGGGAACACCTGGGCCCCAGGGGGGGCAACGGATGGTCTCCCCCGAGATTGTGATTTGCGTCTTGTTTCCCGTGGCGGGCAACAAACATGATGCGTCACAGTTGAACGCACGTTGGACTCGATGCTTCGGGGGTCCGAATGATTGCTTCGCAAAAAAAGATGAATGAAGCATGCAAGGGCAAGACACATACCAACTGCTGCAAGTGCTGTCGCCGATTGGACCCCACACGATGATCACCAGACCCTCCAAGTATATACACAATTGGGCTGCCGCGCTTCAATGGTATTGCAACGGGCTCTTGGGTAATGCCGATGAAGTTCTCCGGAAGCTCACAGGATGCCTGCAGTAACCCCTTGTAGTCCATACGACGTCGCGCGATCCTTGCAGGGGCACAACAGGACAGCTGGATAAAGAGCAAGAGACAGAAGGAGCAAGAGAGAGAGAGAGAGAACAAAAAAAAGGAGGGAGATAGACATAGAGCAAGATGTACGGGGGAGCGGGGATAACGATTTCGCGCCGCCTCATTTAGCGTGTTTGGGTCGCCTATCTCTTCCTGACTGGACACGAGGAGCCTCCCTCGCTGCCACACTACGGCTGGGCACGCCTTGAAAAAACGATCAGGACGAAGTTCGGGAGGAGGCCAGGCCAGGGGCCAGCCTTGATTGCACTTCAGCTGCGCGCCGTGAGGACAGGCGGGCCGACTGCGCGGATGATCGTGCGAAAGCTGTCCGCGTGAGGTCGCAGGCAAGCGCTGCCTACTCCACGGGACGTGCCGCGCTGGCGGCCCGCGGCAGCCATCGCGTAAGGCCGCCACGTCGGCTTTCGCACGGCCCCCACGATCCCTCCGCCGCCCAGCCGGCACCCAGAGAAGAGCCTCCGCCTCCACTGCGAGGCGGGCAGCGCAATGGGGCCCCGCAGCCTTTGGCCCGAGCCGGCCCGGCCCGCCGCCGCGCGCCCGCGAGGCTGCCCGCCTCGTGGGGCCGCGCCGTGCTGCGCCCGCGGGGCTGCGCCGCGGCCCCGGCGCCGCGCGGAGTGGCCGCGCCGCCGCGCCCGCCGCGCGCGCCGGGCGGGGGCCGCCGCAGCCGCCTGCCCGCCGCCGCGCGCCGCGGCCGCCGCGCCGCCGCCGCGGGCGAGCGGCATGTGGGCGGGCGCCGCCCGCGCGGGCCGCCCCCGCGGGCGAGCCCGCCGCGCAGGGGCGCGGCGAGCCCGCCGCGCAGGGGCGCGCAGACGCCGGCGAGCTCGAGGGCCGGGCGGGCCCTGCGGGCCTGGCGCGGAAGCAGCCCCCGCACGCGGGCCACGTGGCGCCTGGCGGCAAGGAGGACGGTGTGCCGACCTCCGATTTTGCGTTTCCGACCCGGGCGAATGTTCGCGATGTCGGCCGGCGGGGGCCGTCTTCGGGCCCCGGGACCGTCGAGGATTTGATCCGGGCCGCAGAACGAAACCCAGGGAAGGGGTCGGGACCGGCCTCGGGCGGGTGATAGTGGGGGGGTGACCTGACTGGGGGGTGAAGAAACAGGGGCCTGAAGGGCCGCTTTAGGGCCCTTCTCTTCGCCCCCTCGTTCAGGCCACCCCCCCCTTACCACCCGCCCGAGGGCCGCGGATTGAGAAAGCACATCGGAGGATGTCAGGGTGCTGCTCGGAGGAGGGCCGGTCGAGCATGCGGCGGCCCTCCCTGGCGCTCGTGCCCCTGGTCTGGAGCCTCCAGAGGGCTTCTCGTCGCCGCTTCGAAGAGCGCGAGTTCGGAGGGACCCGTGGAGGGGTCCGGGGATCGATTTTGACCGAACGAGGGCCGGGTGGGAGAGCCACATCGAAGAACGCGAGTTAGGATGGACCTTGGGAGGGGTCCGGGGATCGATGTTGATCGAACGTGGGCCGGGCGGGAGCACCGCCGTTGCTTCGAATGGCCCTCCTCCGACCTGAGGGAACGGAGTCCCGAGGTTTCCCGCCGTGTTGGGCTTCCCGTGGCACCCCCCAGGCCGCAGGGCCGTCAAAGAACGGCTCGGGGCGAGAAGGCGGTCTCGGGGAAGCCCTCGGTCTCCAGGACCCCGTTTCTCTCGGGACTCCCGCTGTGTTCCTCCACGCCGGAGGAGAGCATGGGATGTGGTGAAGTGGGCGGCCTCATCGCCGTCGCCGCCGAAGCTCTGTCGCTGGCCTCGAAGGCGCCCGTCGCACACGTGCGGGAGGAGGGCGCGGACACGGTCGGCCAGGGGGCCACGCCCAGCCCCCTGTTTGCTCTCCCGCTGGCCGGCAAGTCCCTCATGGACCTGGCGCGCGAGGAGCCCGAGATGGCCTTGGTGCAGGCGCTGGCCACCCCGGAGGCGCTCTCGGCCGCCCCGGCGTCCCTCTGGGTGCAGTCCGGGTCGCCGCTGGGCGGAGAGCTGGCAGCGATGACCGAGCGGTTGGCGCGCGTGCCCAGCGCGCAGCGCTCGCCGCTCGCCCGGGGGGGAGTCGGGTCTCGGCCGCGTGCGCCCGCACCGCATTTTGGCCAGGGCGGCTGCTTCGGCGGGCGAACCTGGCCTGGCGGGCCTGCGACGGGTTCGCCGCCATCCCGCCGCAGGCAGCTCTGGCAGGAATTGGGCGGTCACGACGATACACTGTCCCCAGCTGGCGGCAGCGCCGCCGCCCGGAAGCGAAACCGCGAGGCCGTGCCATTCGCGCACAGAGTTGCGGAGCTGATGGAGGACCTTCGAGCCGTCGGCTTGGCGTCTCGGGTGCTGGCCGCTTGGCGCTGCGAGGCGCTGGCCACGCGCGCCGCATCGCAGGGCCTCCATGGCGGCATCCCCGTCATGATGCTCAAGAGGGCCGTGATCTTTGGATGGGCCGCGCTCTGCAGGTGCAAACACCTCATCAAAGGAGCCATGGACGCGCGGAGGCAGATGTTGGGGGGGTGCAAGCAAAAAGTTTCCTGGACCGCCGACGTAGGCCTCTGCGGGAGCATTCTGGGTGGGCGTTGCACACCCCGTTTTGTGAAGACCATTGGGGTTGCTTTGCACGTACACCCAGGGGGGGGCTCATTGCACAGTCCAAGGGGTCACCATGCAGTCCACCAGGGGTGCTATGCGCTCACGGGATGGTTTCTTTGTACACCAGGGGTGTTCTGCGTACATCTCGTCGACCCTTCCCCAGATCCTCCACCAGAGTGATTTGCACACACACACACACAAACACACATACACATACACACACACATACACATACACATACACACACACAAACACACACACACACACACACACATACACACACACACACACAAACCACACACCTCTAGAGAGCTTAAAACGCCCTGGCAGGTATGTCCGAACCACTGTACAAAAGACTCTCCTGGCATTTCCAAAGACATTCGGGCATTGTGTACCGAAGCACCCCCTGTGGACTGCTCGACGCGTCGTGGGAGAGGTCTGGAACGACGTCTGGGCGAGGTGGGCGAAGCCCCCGGGCGGGGTGCACAAAACGATCCCCCACGTGTCCGTCCCCCGATCTGGCTTTCCTCCTCCTCCTTCTCCTCCTCCTCCTCCTCCTCCTCCTCCTCCTCCTCCTCCTCCTCCTCCTCCTCCTCCTCCTCCTCCTCCACCTCCTCCTCCTCCTCCTCTTCCTCCTCCTCTACTTCGCCCACCCACCCCGCGAAGGCAGATGATGAGGAGCCAGACCGCCACCGGTGGGGGAGCTGAAGCAGCCCTCAGCGCCAGGAGCGGCGCGGGCGCGCTCTGGAGCTCCAAGAGGCTGCAGTCGCTCGCCGTCGAGCGCGCGCTGCTGTTCGCCGGCAGGACCGTGCGGCGGCCGGGCTGCGACCAGCGTTGGGCGTTCCTCCGCGCGTGGCGCCTGGAGTCCCTGAGCTCCCAGAAGGAGCGGCACGCGGGGCGGTGCCGGAGCCTGAGGTCCTCATGCCTGCGCGCAGTAGTGGCCTCCGCGGCACGGCGCGCGGAGGCGGACCTCCGAGCCGCGGTCGCCGTGTGGCGGCTGGGCTGCGCGGTGGAGCGGAGGGAGCAGCGCGAGCTCCAGCGGCTGGCCGCGCAGCGCGAGGCGTCCGCCGAGCGCGATCGCCACGTTCGGCTGCGCGCCCTGTTCGCGGCGTGGCGGCGCCAGGCCGCGCGGGGCAGAGTGGGGTTCCTGCAGAGGTTCCTGACGGAGATCTCCGGCGCGGCGGTCCGAAGCCAGGCCATCCACCTCGCATCGCTGGCGCTGGTCACCTGGCAAGGTCACGGGCTTGCGTCGCGCCTCTGCTACGAGACGGGACGCCGCGCCGAGCTGGAGCGCCGCGCCGAGCGCCTGGCCTCCCAGGCCGCCTTCGGCGCCAGCAAGGCCGTCGCCGCCCTCGCGGGCCATTCGGCCTACTCCACGCTGAGGGAAGCGCTCTGGGGCTGGCGTCACCAGGTGGCCGAGCAGCGCCAGGGCGAGCGCCTGAGCGACGCGCTGGAGCGCTCGTGCGTGGCACTGGAAGGTGGCCGCCGCCGGGGCCTACAAGGATGGGTGCTGGCGGCCTGGCAGGAGGCGCGCAAGCTGGACCGAGGGCGCCGCCAGCAGCGGGGGCTGCTGGAACTGCTCCTGGCCGAGCGCCGGGAGGCCGCTTTGACGTCTGCGCTCTCGGAGTGGCGCCTGCTGACGCTGCAGGACCGCCACGGCAGGGACAAGGAGGACTGGATGGAGCACGCAGACGGCCGCCTGCAGCAAGCCGACCGCCTGCTGCTCGTCTGCCAGCGCGACTTGCCGCTGAGGGCGGCGCTCGCGGCCTGGAGCGGCGCCGCGGCCATCGAGCGCAGGGATCGCGAGCGGGAGCGGTGGGCAGGCCAGGCGGAGGCGCGCCTGCAGCAGGCGGCGGCCCTGTTGGCCCTCGTGCAGCACGACGCGCCCCGCTACGTGGTGCTGGTGGCCTGGCGAGAGGCGGCAGCGGCTGCGAGCAGCGGGCGCGAGAAGGGCCGGTGCATGCGGCAGGAGGCGGACAGGCGCCTGAGGCAGGCCGACCTGCTCCTCCTCCACTGTCAGCAGGGCGAGCCGCGGAGGCCGATCCTCGAAGCATGGAGGGGCGTGGTTGCATCGGAACGGCACGGGCAGGAGAAGAGCCGCCTGACCTATCGAGCGGACCGACGGCTGCAGCAAGCGGCAGCAGCGTTGGCCGCCCACTCGAGAGTGGCAGCGCACCAGGTGGCCTTTGCAGCGTGGAGGGAGGTTGCGGCAGCCGCACGCCAGGAGCGCGAGGGAGAGAGGCGAGTTCGGCAGGCTGATTTGCTGCTTCAGATGTGCCAGCAGGACGTACCCTTGCGGTTAACCCTTGAAGCTTGGAGGAGCGTGGCTACATGCGGGCGGCATGGGCGTGAGAAGGACAACTTGGTGCTTCAGTGTGGCAGACGCTTGCAGCAAGCAGATGCGGTGCTTTCGTTCGACATGCGACTGATGGTGCAACGCACAGCGTTTGCGCCATGGCGAAACATCGCAGTAGCTGCGCGCTTGGAGCTCGATCAGCAGAGACTGACAAGTGCGCGACTGCATCAAGCTGAATTGATACTGCAGATGGGCCAGAAGGATCTATCCTTGAGGGAAACCTTTGAGGCCTGGAAGGGCGTGGTTACATCGAGTCGCCATGGGCGTGAGAAGGGGCACCTGATGCATGAGGCCAGCAAGCGCTTGCAGGTTGCAGACGTATTACTTTCCGGCAGCATGCGAATGGAACTTTATCGCATGGCGTTTGCAGCTTGGAAGGATTTAGCGGTAGCTGCACACCACGACTCTTACAAGCAACAGATGCGGAGATGTACAGAAGTGCGACTACATCAAGCGGACTTGCTACTCCAGATGGGCCAGCAAGGCGTACCTTTGGTTGTGACGGTTCAGGCCTGGAGGTCTTTGGCTGCATCTGAGCGTCACAGGCGTGAGAAGGAACATTTGACGCATGAGTCCAGCAAGCATTTGCAGCAAACAGATGGTGTCCTTTCAATCGACATGCGAATGTCACAATATCGATTGGCGTTTACAGCTTGGAAGGATTTCGCAGTGGCTGTACACCTCGAGCTCGAGAGGACAGAGCAGTTGCAGAAGAGCGCGGAAGCGCGATTATCTTTTGGGCATGGCCCTCTGCCGCCAGGGTTTGTGGCTCGATCGTAATTGTGTGTGACAGGTGTGCGTGCGTGCGTGCGTGTGGTTCTGGGCATCTTCAAAACGTTGTTTGACCGCAGTGGGGCATCCTGGGGCAGTTGTGAGGTTGTCTTCGCGAGATGTGGGTGCCAGATGTGTGCCTTGCCTGACGGAGCGCTGTCCAACATGATTGGCGCGCTTGCTGTTCTTCGGTATTGCTCCTGATGCTACTTGAATTTTGCAGGCCCCAGGAGGCCACGTTGCGGCGTAGGAAACGGAGGCCCCAGGTGGCCACAGGAACACCCAAGGAGGCCCTAGAAGGCCCAAGGAGGCCACAGGCAGCCACGGGAGATTCCAGTGAGACCCAAGAGGTCCCAGGGATGGGTTCAAGACGCGGCTCAAGTGTGCCCCAAGATGGCCCCAGAAATCGCCAACGCGGCCCAAGACAGCCCAGAGAAGGCCCAGTAGGGCCCCAAGGTGCCCCCAAGACCGCCCCAGATAGCGGCCCGAGCTCGACACTGTTCCGGGACCATCCGCCAACAGCAGCGGCAGCAGATCAAGCAGCGGCGCGCAGTCGCAGGCAGCAGCAGGCAGCAGCAGCAGCAGAAGGCGGCAGCAAGCAGCCGCGCACCCACCGAAGACACGAAGCCAAAGAACGTGTAAGGGGTGGACCGATTTGGGGGCGCGTGCACCTCACGGTCGGCCCCACCGAGACAGTAAGTGGAGCTCCATATGGGGCCACGAAGCGCGCGAGGGGTGTGCTGCATTGGTGGGCTGATGCGCCATGCAGTCGGGCCCACTGAGACCGTAGCCGGCGCTTCCTGTGGCGCCACGAAGAATTCGGGGAGGTGCCGAACGGGGGGGTGATACGCCATGCAGTCGGGCCAACTGGGCCCGTAATTGGAGCTCCTTGTGGGGCAACGAAACGTTCGATGGGTGTGCCGAATGGGGGGGTGATACGCCACGCAGTCGGGTCCACTGAGACGGGGGTGGAGATCCTTATGGTGCCACGAAGCACGTGAGGAGTGCGCCGAATCGGGGGCGTGCGCGCCATACGGTCGGGGCAGCTGCGACCGTAGGTGGAGTGGGCTACGGGGTCACGAGACGTGCGAGGGTGTGTGCCAGATTGGGGGCGCGTGCACCAGGCATCGAGCCCACTGAGACCATGGGAAGAGCTCTCTTTGGGGCCAGGGAACGTATGAGGGGTGTGACGAATCGGAGGCGCATACGCCATGCGTTCGAGCCGACTCTGACCTAAGGTGGAGCTCCCAATGGCGCCACGCGACGTGTGACGGGTGTGCCGAATTGGACACGCGGAGAGCAGAGGAAGGAGGGGGGAAGAGGAGGAGGGCCAGGAGGAGGGCCAGGAGGAGGAGGAGGACCAGTGCAAACCCAAAGACCCATCAACGATGTTGGAAAACATCCTCTCTCCAAGCTCCCCCTCCATGGGCCTCTACAAGGATTCATTTCCACGGAGGGAAGTGCCCCGTTGGGGGACAGCCGTGTGAAAATCTTGAAGCGTGCCAAAACATCATTTTCAGGACTTCCAACGCCACGAGTCAGTCTCATTAAAGCGTCTTGACGATCCTGGCTCGTGCCAGCACGCCATTCATGGGATTTCAACACTGCAAATCAACGTAACTGTTGTGCCCTGACAACACTGAACCGCTGCAAAACACAATTTCTTATACGCTAACCGTGAGAACCAGTGACATGCTTGCAAAGTGTTAAGACGAATGTGCGCGGCGCTAAGACGATAGCCACATTCTCAAAAGAAGCCACCCTCGATCGGTGAACATCTTGCAATATTTCAAACCGAATGCGCGCGGCGCTAATGCGAGAGCCACATTTTGACAAGGAACCGCCCACAATCCGTGAAAACGAGTGCGCGCAGCGGTAAGGCGAGAGCCACAGTTTGAAAACGAACCACCCTAAATCCGTGAAACTCCTGCGAACTGTAAAAAAACGAATGTACCCAGCGCTGAAGCGAGAGCCACATGTTGCAGGAATGGAAGACGAGGAGGAGGGAGAGGAGGAGGAGGAGGAGGAGGAGGAGGAGGAGGAAGGAGGAGGAAGAGGGAGGAGGCGCGCGCGCTGCTGATTCAAAGCGAGGACCCAAATCGCACAGGATGGTTGGTAATGTGTGTCGCGCAGCCTGGGCGTCCCCTACCAGGTGGGTTGGCGGAAATCACGCTGACAAGCTACTGCAGATGTGCCAACAAGACGTGCCGTCGAGGCTGATCTTTGAGGCTTGGAGGGGCGCAGCTGCAGTCGAGCGTCATGGGCGTGAGACTGCTCGCTTGACTGATCAAGCCAGCAGGCACTTACAGCAAACAGAAGCCGTAGTTCTGATCGACATGCGAATGGCACAGCAGCGCGTGACCTTTGTAGCATGGAAGGACGTTGCAGTAGCAGCGCACCACGAACTCGAGAAGATAGACCAGCTGCGGAGGAGCGCAGACGTGCGACTTCATCAAGCTGACCAATTACTGCAGATGTGCCAACAGGACGTGCCGTCGAGGGTGATATTTGAGGCTTGGAGGGGAGCAGCTGCAGTCGAGCGCCATGGGCGCGAAAAGGGGCATCTGATGGGTCAAGCTTGCAGACGGCTGCAACTAGCAGACGCAGCACTTGCGACCGACGGGCGAGTGGGCCGTCTGTGCGAGACCTTCTCGGCATGGAAAGGCGTCGCGGTAGCCTCGCACCACGAGATCGAGAAGAGGCACCAGGTACAGAGGAGCGCGGACCAGCGACTTCGTCAGGCTGACCTGCTACTGCAGATCCACCAGCCGGAGTGGTCCTCGAGGGTGATGCACGCCGCTTCGCGGGGAACACGGCAGGGCAAGCGTTCCGTCCGCTCCTGGGGGCCGTCGTGGAGGTATTTTGGGAGTAGTCTGGAGCCTACTTGGGCCCTTCGTGGGCCGTCTTGTCCCGCTATCGGAGCCTTGTCTGGGCCGTCTTGGTATGAGATTGGGAGCATCTTGCGCCGTCTTGAATGCTTGGAAGACTGAAAAAAGCTGAGTATGTCAAAATCGCTCAGGAAGCCTCCAGAAGCTCAATGCGTCTTGCCTCTTGGAGGCCCGTTGAGGTTCTCTTGGCGCCCCCTCGGGCCGTCTTGGCAGCCTCTTGGGCCGTTTGGGGGCCGTCTTGGCGCCGTATTGGGCCAGTTTGGGCCAGCCTCGGCCGTCTTGGGGGTCTATTCGTGCTGTCTTGGAGGCCCTCCAGGCCAGTTGTAGCCGCAAAAGAGGTTGCCGCATAAGGTCGGCAGATGTGGCGCGGCCCTTCGGGGGGGGTCAAGGGGAGGTATCGACATTATGTTTACATAACACTTTTCTCTCGCAACTGTTTGACATATGCCTTGCATCTTGTCTGGGAGGCTACACACACAACAAAAAAACGGCCCCCATAGTCTGGTTCGCAGCCCGGCCGTGAATACAATGGGCTGACGCTGCATCCACCGACCTCTTGATGCTATAGAGGCTCCGGTTGGCCCTTGCAGCCGCTGGCCCAGGAAATCTCTTGGGCCGACGCGGGGCCGTCGACATGTCTGAAGCAGAAGAGCCTGGGAATCAAAATGTTGTGCAATGCAGCGTAGGGCCTCTCGCGTGGACCGTCTCCTTGGGCCGTCTTCGCGCCCTCCAGGAGCCCTCTGAGGTCGGATTTGAGGACATCATGGCGCCCTCTTGGGCCGCCATGGGCCCGCCTTGGGAGACCCAGGGCCTCTTCCAGGCACCCGCAGGGTACCCACCCCCCCCCCGATTGAAGTCGTGAGAGCCTACCTCCTCCTCCTCCTCCTCCTCCTCCTCCTCCTCCTCCTCCTCCTCCTCCTCCTCCTCCTCCTCCTCCTCCTCCTCCTCCTCCTCCTCTCCGTACTGGATCTGCATAAGGTGCGGGTGTCGGGCTTTGGAGGGCAGGGGACACCTCAGAGGCCTCTCGGAAGTTTGCTCACCTCCCCCGAAGATGGGGAGTTGGGTTATGTCTCGCGTTTTTCAAGGGAGGCCACTCAAATGAAGTCCTCCTGAGAGCCCCGCCAATCCAGACACCGTCTGATCGGGAAAGCCCTTGGAAAGTCCTCCTTCCAAGAGCGGGTCAAAGTGCAAGCATCTCCCACGCCGGTGCCCGTGGGGTTCGGCGAATCTTTGAGGCCTGGAGGGGCACAGCGGCGGTCGAGCGGCATCAGCGTGAGAGGGAGCGCCTGAGTGGTCAAGCCGACAGGCACCTCCAGCAGGCAGAAGCAGTACTGTTGGTGGACGTGCGAATGACGCAGCAGCACGTGGCCTTTGCAGCTTGGAAGGACGTCGCAGTAGCCTCACGCCACGAGCTCGAGAAGACAGACCAGCTGCGGAGGAGCACAGACGTGCGGCTTCATCAAGCTGACCTGCTTCTGCAGATGCACCAACCGGATCTACCCTTGTGTGTGACCTTTGAGGCTTGGAGGAGCGCGGTTGCAGTCGAGCGCCATGTGCGTGAAATGCATCGCCTCAATGGTCAAGCCGACAGGCACCTCCAGCAGGCGGACGCAATAGTTTCGTTCGACGTGCGCATGGCGCTGCAGCGCGTGGCCTTTGCAGCTTGGAAGGACGTCGCATTAGCCTCGCACCACGAGCTCGAGAAGAGGGAACAGCTGCAAACGAGCACAGACATGCGACTTCATCAAGCTGACCTGCTTCTGCAGATGCACCAGCCAGATCTGCCCGTGTGCGTGATATTCGAGGCCTGGAGGAGCGCAGTTGTAATCGAGCGTTTGGGGCGTGAGAGCCAGCGTTTGGACGGTCAAGTCGACAGGCACCTGAAGCAAGCAGAAGGATTGGCATCTGTCGAAATGCGGATGGCGCAGCAGCGCATGGCGTTTGCAGCTTGGAAGGATCTTGCTGCAGCTGCGCACCACGACGCCGACAAGAAAGATCAGGTGCAGAGGAGCGCAGACGTACGGCTACACCAAGCTGATGTGCTACTTCAATGGGTCCAGCAGGATGCGCCCTTGAGAACGATCTTCGCGGCCTGGAGGAACGTGGCTACATCTGAACTCCATGTGCGTGACATGGAGCGCCTGAATGGTCAAGCCAACAGGCAGGGCTCATTTCGATTCGATCGATTCGGTGCCGAGTTCACCCTGCTCGATCCGATTCGATGTCGATATCCTGGCGATCCGATGCGGCCCGATGCTGCACAGCGTAGTTGTGTATCCGGGCGCGGCCAGTCCCATTCGATTTCAATTCGTTGCCGGTGCAACCCGATCCGACGCATATCTCGATCCGATCCGATTTCCGATGTTGATTGATCCTCACAGGCACTTGCAGCAGGCAGGCGCAATAGTTTCGGTCAACGTGCGGATGACGCTGCAGCACGTGGCCTTTGTAGCTTGGAAGGACGTCGCGGCAGCCTCGCACCACGAGCTCGAGAAGAGGGAACAGCTGCAAACGAGCACAGACGTGCGACTTCATCAAGCTGACCTGCTTCTGCAAATGCACCAACCAGATCTGCCCGTGTGCGTGCTTTTTGAGGCTTGGAGGAACGCGGTAGCAGTCGAGCGCCATGTACGTGAGAGGGATCGCTTGAAAGGTCAAGCTGACAGGCACTTACAACAGACAGACTCGGTAGTGTCGGTTGGAATGCGGATGGCGCAACAGTGCATGGCGTTTGCAGTTTGGAAGGACATGTCAGCAATTGCTCGCAATGAGCTTGAGAATGAGAAGTGGCGAAGGAGTGCAGACGCACGGTTGCAGCAAGCTGACTTGCTACTCCAGCTGTGCCAGCAGAATGTGCCCATGAGGGCGAGTTTTGAGGCTTGGAGGGGCGTGATTGCACTCGAGCGCCATGGGCGCGAGATCCAGCTTCTGAATGGCCAGGCTAACCAGCATTTGCAACAGGCAGACACGGTGCTGAAAGCTGGCATGCGAGATACAGTGCGGTTGATTGTTCTGGCAGCGTGGAAGGAGCTCGCAGTGGCTAGACAGTACGACGAGGGAATCAGCCTTGTGACAGACATGCGCCTTCAGCAGGCTGACCTGCTCCTTCAGATGTGCCAACCAGACTCTCCGCAGAGACCATGCTTTGAAGCCTGGCGAGATGTGACTGCACACGAGCTTCGTGGGCGTGAGGCAAAGAGATTGGTAGACAAGACGGCTCGGTGCTTGCACCAGACAGCAGTGGTTCTTGCGGGTGACGAGAGGAGGGCGTTGCTGCAATGCTGTGTGGCAGCTTGGAGGCAGGTCGCAGCTGCTGCCCGTCACGGACACGAGAAAGACAAGTTAATCGGGCACGCAGACAGGCGCTTGCAGCTAGCAGGCATTCTCCTGTCCCTGGGTCAAAGAGAAGCGCCATTGATAGTATCATTCGTTGCATGGAGAAGCGCAGCCGTGTCAGAGCTGCACCGACGTGAGAAGGAGCACTTCATCAGCCAATCAGATCGGCATTTGCAGCAAGCAGCTGCGCTGCTGGCTTCCAACGTGCACGGGGCACCACAGCGCATAGCGTTCGCAGCTTGGCGGGAAGTTACAGTAGAGATTCTCCATGACCGCGAGAAGCGCAAGTGTATCGCGCGTGTTGACAGCCGCCTACACCAAGCTGACACGCTCCTCCTGATGAACCAGAAAGGCACGCCCCTGATGATAACTTTCGGTGCTTGGCGAGGCGTGGTCGTGTCCGAGCGGCACGGGCATGAGAAGCAGCGCCTGGCGAACCAAGCAGCCAGGCGATTGCAGCTTGCAGGCACCTTGTTGTCGCCGGGTCAGAGAGAAGCGCCCTTGATGGTATCCAGTTGCCTGCGGCGTACCCCGCCACCGTGCCGGCGCAGCAGCGCAGCGTGAAGGAAGTTGAGTGAAAGACCCACGGCAGTTCAGCGCGCGGTCTGAATTTGAGTGGGTCCCGGATGGGGCCATTTTGAGGCTCTCTTCGCCTGTCTGACGCCTTCGGAGGCCGTTTTGGGGGCCTCCCTGGACTGTCTTCGGGCCCTCTTGGAGCGCTTACGGGCCGTCTTGGAGGTCTCTTGGATCGTCTTGCGCAGCCGGAAGGCGGAAATGGCGGGAGCGCGGAAACCATTGAGAACACACATACAATAGTATCGATGAGTTTGGCTTGTTTCGGCCATCCTGGAGGGCTTCTTGGCGCCCTCATGGGCCGCACCGAGGGCCTCTTGGGCCATCTCAAGTTTCTCTTGGCCCGTCTGACGCCTCTGGAAGCCTCTGGGCCGTCTTGGGCTGTCAGAAGCCCGAGGCGGCGCGAAAATGATTCGAAAAAAACAGCGGAAGAAGCAATGATTTTGGCTTCGTCTGGTCCTCCTGGAGGGCCTCTTGGAGTCCTCTTGGGTTGTATCTGGGGGCTCTTTGAGCTGCCAGAGGGTTCTCTTGGCCCTTCGTCTGACGCCTTTGGAGCCCGCCTTGGAGGCCTCTCTAGGCCGTCTTAGGGGTCCTCGTGGGGTGCCTTCGGGCCGTCTTGGAAGTCTATCGGGCTGCCTTGGGTCCCTCTCGGTGCCGCCTTGGGGACCTCTTTGGCCGTCTTGGGTCCTCTGGGTCCCCCTTGGAAGCTCCTGGGGCCGTGTGAGGCTGTCGGCAGCCCCACAAGGAGGGCACGCGAAAACGATTGAAAGCCGAAAGCGTATTGGACCAGCCTGGAGGCATGTTGAGGCCATTTTGAATCCTCGCAGTTGTGCTGGGGCTTTCCTGAGGCCAACAAGGTTGCTGGAGAGCAAATGCAGAGGGGACGTTTTCAAAGGATGCGCGCGGCAAATGGGGAGCCAGCCCTAGAAAACATCAAAGAGAGCAGCAAAGCATTTGAACACGCCCCAACGTGCTGCTGGTACGGGGACGGATCGTTCGTGGCATGGAGAAGCGCAGCCGTGTCAGCGCTGCACGGACGTGAGAAGGATCACTTCATCAGCCAATCAGATCGGCACTTGCAGCAAGCAGCTGCGCTGCTGGCTTCCAACGTGCACGGTGCACCACGGCGCATAGCGTTCGCAGCTTGGCGGGAAGTTACAGTAGAGATTATCCATGACCGCGAGAAGCGCAAGTGTATCGCGCGTGTTGACAGCCGCCTACACCAAGCTGACACGCTCCTCCTGATGAACCAGAAAGACACGCCCCTGATGATAACTTTCGGTGCTTGGCGAGGCGTGGTCGTGTCCGAGCGACACGGGCATGAGAAGCAGCGCCTGGCGAACCAAGCAGCCAGGCGATTGCAGCTTGCAGGCACCTTGTTGTCGCCGGGTCAGAGAGAAGCGTCCTTGATGGTATCCAGTTGCCTGCGGCGTACCCCGCCACCGTGCCGGCGCAGCAGCGCAGCGTGAAGGAGGTTGAGTGAGAGACCCACGGCAGTTCAGAGCGCGGTCTGAATTTGAGTGGTTCTTAAATTCGACCTCGTTCCCTCCACTCGCGGATGGGGCCATCTTGAGACTCTCTTCGCCTGTCTGACGCCTTCGCAAGCCGTTTTGGGGGCCTCCCTGGACTGTCTTTGGCCCCTCTTGGGGCGCTTCCGGGCCGTCTTGGAGGTCTCTTGGATCGTCTTGCGCAGCCGGAAGGCGGAAATGGCGGGAGCGCGGAAACCATTGAGAACACACATGCAATATCGATGAGTTTGGCTTGTTTCGGCCATCCTGGAGAGCTTCTTGGCGCCCTCCTAGGCCGCATCGAGGGCCTCTTGGGCCGTCTCAAGGCTCTCTTGGCCCGTCAGACGCCTCTGGAAGTCTCTGGGCCGCCTTGGGCTGTCAGAAGCCCGAGGCGGACACGCGAAAATGATTCGAAAAAGCCAGCGGAAGAAGCAATGATTTTGGCTTCGTCCTGTCCCCCTGGAGGGCCTCTTGGAGTCTTCTTGGGCTGTATCGGGGGGCTCTTGAGCCGCCAGAGGGTTCTCTTGGCCAATCTGACGCCTTTGGAGCCCGCCTTGGAGGCCTCTCTAGGCCGTCTTAGGGGTCCTCGTGGGGTGCCTTCGGGCCGTCTTGGAAGTCTATCGGGCTGCTTTGCGGCCTTCTCGGTGCCGCCTTGGGGACCTCTTTGGCCGTCTTGGGTCCTCTGGGTCCCTCTTGGAAGCTCCTGGGGCCGTGTGAGGCTGTCGGGAGCCCCACAAGGAGGGCATGCGAAAAGGATTGAAAGCCGAAAGCGTATTGGACCAGCCTGGAGGCATGTTGAGGTCATTTTGAATCCTCGCAGTTGTGCTGGGGCTTTCCTGAGGCCAACAAGGTTGCTGGAGAGCAAATGCAGAG